CCAGGCTTCTGGCATACTGTAACAGCTGTTCCCAGGGCTGGTTGGTGCTGACTTCAGAGCTAGCAGACACAGCAGGACTATAAGAGTCCTCCTCTCAAACCCTAGGGTCAAGCAGGTGCATGAGGCAGTGTGCAGGGGACCCAGCATGTAAATCTTCATAATTTCTCTTCCTATCACTCCTGTGGCACTGGAATTTTTTGAAATGGATGCTGCAGTCTAAAGCGTGCAGACCCTCGGGCATTCTCAGGAGGCATGCCCGCCACCTGAGCACTCCCCACAGTCATGGCAGAGGCTCTTCTGGTCCCTGTGCCTGGGGTTTCAGCCTCAGGACTTAACTGAGGTCACACAGCTAGAGTCTATGCACAGGAGCCGGGAGTGAGGCAAGTGTCTGCTCTGCTGGTCAGCTGGAGGGCAGTCTTCTACAGCCCAGCCCTGAATGGGTTCTATGCTAAGGATGGTGGACAGTGTTGCAAAGGATCTTCCAGGGTTCAGGCCAAAGAAGCAAGGTGCCTTGCCCAAGGTCACATGGCAGCCTGAGACACCCTGTCTCTGGACATCCCCAGAAAATACAGGAATAATAATGGCAAGGGCTCGAGAGGCTGCATGCCGTGTGCCCGCTGTTGGCCCAAGTGCTGTACATGCGTTATCTCATTCGCTTCTATGAGAAACTCCCTTGCGCAGGTGTGGTGGGCTAATCCTGAGCCCTCCGCCCGGTGTCACACAGTGGGGAGACACCTGAAGAGAACGGGGAGTATGAAGGAGTAAGATGTAGAGGGGACAAAGGGCATCACACAGGAATTGGTTCCACCATAATACATAAGAGTCTTCCATGCATCCTAGTCAACCTTCTTCCCATGCATGCTGAACCCAGAGGTTAACGAATGTCACAAAGTAAAACCCACCCAATATAGACATGATTAAGCAAAGTGTCGTCATATGATATTCCTATGCTAAATCTCATAGACACTGACATTGGGTTATGGAGCTGGTCCTGAAGGCAATCCCGTATGTATCCCTAGGCAAATGAGCAGCTGTTGTTTGAGGAATCCCTATTTCCATAGAGAGGGCTCTGTATCAGGATAAGATGCTGCAGTGCTGCAAGTTACCAGCAGAGGGCACCACAGGAAGCACATGAGTTGAGCTCCTACTACGCACTAGCTTTTTTCAAATATGATGGGGAAATTACATAACCCAAAAGAAGCAACAGAGAGAAGCGGCAAGATGCTCACAGATGGGTACCAAGGAAACCATATCACAGAAATCCAGACAGTGAACCAGTGTTAGAGTCAGGCACAGACCTAGGGTCACTTCACTTCCTTGGGACTTGGCGTCTGGTCAACCACACTGTTGTGAGGACAGAATGCAGTCACTCATGCAAAACACTTCCAAGAGAGCCTAACATCTAGTGAGGGTCCTTTACTGACGTCGCAGAGGTACAGAGAAGTCAAGTAATTTGTCCAAGGTCACACAGTTATGGCCAGGAATGTAACTCAGTATCAGAGTGTTTGTGTAGCATGCACAAGGCCCTGGGCTCAGTTCCAAAAGTGTGAGGAGGGGGCACTACTGAGGTACGTTCTGATGGACCAAGGTCACTGTACTGGTTCCTTTTCTGTTGCTATGATATGATAAAACACTATGAACGAGGAAGCTTATCAAAGCTTATTTGGGCTCATGGCTCCAGAGAGATACAGGTCCATGGTGGCAGAGTAGCGGTGTGGTGGCTGGAGTAGGAAGCTGAGCACTTACATTTTCAATGGCAGGCATGAAGCAGAGAGCATTCTGGAAATGGCGGGAGGTGTGAAACCTCAAAGCCTGCCCCCCCATAGACACACTTCACCAAGTCACACCTCCTAAACCTGCCCAAACATTGCCACCAACTGGGGCTGAAAATTCAGAAATCTAAGCCCATGGGAGACATCTCATTCAAACCACCATAGTCACACAGCTGGGACTGGTAACAGGACAGCCTCATGCAGGCAGACTGCTTCCGAAGTCATGCTTTTAACCAGCATGTCGCCATCCATTAATAAGAGCATACAAAGTGGTGGTCCCTGCCTGACATAATGGCACACACCTTTAATCCCAGCACTTAGGAGGCAGAGGCAAGTGGATCCCTGTGAGTTCTAGGCCAGTCTGGCCTACGTAGTGAGTTCCAGGACAGCCAGAGCTACATAGTAATAACCTGTCTCAAAAATAAAAATAAACAAACAAACAGATGACAAGTAAGTAATGAACCGTGCTGGTCACATGACCAGACCAAATCACATGACCACTCCCAACCTCATTTACAGGGACCCAAGGCACAGGAGGACAGATGACTAGCCCAAGGTCATTCTGCTAGTACCTGTGTTCTGGCATCAAACTGCCCTCCCCTTTCCATGGCTGGGGCCCTGTGAGGTGCAGACTTGTGCCAAGAGCAGGCGGACAGGACTGCCGACAGCTGGGCTTCTGGGATGGTAAGCCAGGCTAACTGGTAAACATCTGATTACACTCACTTCACAAGCACTTACTGGGTACCACTGCTGGGGTCCTGCTAGACCGGGGCGGGGCAGCCACTACCTGTTCCTGGGGGTTCCCTAGAGTACAGGGACCATGCAGAGCAGTGCGGTGGGTTCCACTCTTGGTTGCACCCCATGAGCAGGTCCCACCACTCTTGGTTTCCTTATCTGTCAGAAAGACATTTTTGAGAGGACTCAGAAGTGGCAGTAGAGCTCTTAGAAAAGAGCCTGGCACCCAGGAAGTGCTCAGCAAGCAGCTCAGTAGTTACACCCCGTGGGGAGGCTGAAGGAGGAGAGGGTCTTAGAGTAACCACCAAATAAACAACCCAGCCCTTGACAAAGTGACAGACCGACTCCTGGCATGGGCAGGCTGACCTTCCAAGCTGAAAGCAGACGGGAGGGAGATGAGCGCTTCCAGGGTAGTCGCCCCTACTCTTGAATTAAGTCTCCACCACTGTCCCCCTTGCTCCTGACCACAGAGTCCCTTACTGTTGAGTCACCCACCCTGACGCCCCACTGATTTCTGTGCACAGCAGGTCCTGACCACACACAGGACAGAGAAATACAGACACAGATTAGGAGTATTGGAAAGTGGCTTGTCCAGATCTCAACCTGGGATCATCCCAAATGCCAGACAAGGCAGAAGACTGGAGGATCGTCAGCCAGGCCCTTTAAGGGAAATGAAGCTGGCCAAAGTGCCCAGCCTGCCAGACATTGCTGGAATCACACTTACAAAGCCCTCTTCCAGCTGCTCCTTCATGGGGGAAGCCCTGGGCAGAGGGGCGTTACAGGTCCCAGAGGTCAGAAGGAGAGGGGCAAATGGGAATGCCACTCCTCAGCTCCTCAGCTGTGAAAGCAGGGGAAAGGGCCTAACCTCTATTGTTCTCGGGAATCAAAGGACAATGGGGACACTTGGTAATTAAGTGCTGGATGATAAGTTTGCTCAATGTCTGCCAGGAACCCTCTGAGGAGCCCAGCCCCCAGGGTCCCCAGGGAAAACACTAAGATCAGAAGAGGCCATGGGAGTCAGAGACAAATGGTGTGGCCCCTGCTCTCCAGAAGCCTCTCCAAGTCCCCTGAGAGAGCCTCAGCCTGCCACACAGCCGTCTCTCAAACACATGACAGACAGGATTTCTGGTCCAAACTCCAGTAGAACAGGTGGAGAGTGAGCATCTCTGTCTCTGTCTCTGTCTCTGTCTCTCTCTCTCTCTCTCTCTCACACACACACACACACACCAAGGGCTCTCTATCCTGGTGTAGTGATTACACGCCACACTCTTGACTGGTAAGTCGTCTTGAAGGGTGGAGTCTAGTCAGACTCGGATTCCTTTATGCAACATTCACTCATCGTATGCCTGCTGTGTGCCAGGCAGGGCGGAGTACACAGACCCAAACCTAGAGAATTCCAGCGCAGTGTGGGGAGAGGCAGACAAATCAGCTTCATCGAAGCACTGTTCGAGCAGAAGGAAAAGAAGTGTAATTATAATGCTAACATTTACATAGCAATCATTGTGCACTCTCGATTTCTTTACATGTGCAATGGGAACTAATTTCCTATGATGATTGAGTTAGCCTTTGTAAAGGATAGTGTCCAGGCTTACATACGGTAAGTGCTTAATACTTATATGTTCATCACTTTATACTGGGTTCTGTCAAAAACCCTAAAGTTGGGTGTCTACTTACAAGCTCCAGACAAAGCAAACATTTTTTTTGTTGTTGTTTTTTGTTTTGTTTTGTTTTTCCAGACAGGGTTTCTCAGTAGCTATGGAGCCAGTCCTGGAACTCACGCTGTAGACCAGGTTGGCCTCAAATTCACAGAGATTCTCCTGCCTCTGCCTCCCGAGTGCTGGCATTAAAGGTGTGTGCCACCACCGCCGGCCAAAGCAAACATTTTTAAAGATGGGGTCTCGCTGCATTGCCCACACTGGCCTCAAATTCCTGAGCTCAGATGATTCTCCTGCCTCTGAAATTTGATGAAGGCAAAGGCTGCTTTGTAGTATCGAATGCTTTTAGTCCCAGCACTCAGGAGGTAGAGACAGGAGGATCTCTGTGAGTTAGACATCAGCTTAATTAACTACAAAGTAAGTTCCAGGAAAGCCGGGGCTACATGGTTTCCTAACAAAATATTAAAATAAAAAAAAAGCAAACCAAAGACTGATATTCCCGCATGTTACAGAGGTGAAAAGGCAAAATAATTCTGGGGTGGGGGTGGGGAGAGCATCTTTGGACTGCAGAGCTTCTGCAAGCTTAGATTGCTTGCTGCCCCCTATGCCTCAATCTCTTCACCTAGAGAGTGAAAGGCTACTTCCAGTCCATTGTTATGCACACTTGTAACGATGAAGGCCAAGTGGGCAGAGCCAAGCCAACCTCTGCACCAACAGAGGTTCACCGACGAAGGTCCAGGTGGGCACGCCGGCTGGGTGAGCATCGGTGCAAGGCGGCCTACGGAGACCCCTCGCCCCCCATCTCCAGCGTCCTCACTCCCCTCCTTGTCACCCACAGGTTATGTGGCGCACTGCCTGCCCCCCAGCGGTTACGATGGCGAGCAGAAGCCTGGGCTGGAGCTGGCGCCCGCCGAGCCCGCATACCCGACCGCGGCGTCGGAAGAGTACAGCGATCCCGAGAGCCCGCAGTCCAGCCTGTCGGCGCGCTACTTCCGCGGGGAGGCGGCCGTGACCGACAGCTACTCCATGGACGCCTT